TGAATCAAAATAAATCTTTCAAGATTTTCTATTTTTTTTACATGTTCATGAACTTTATGTTGATGTGTATTTTCAGAATTGCACATTTCCTTCATATTTGATCATTTCCTTAGTTCACAAGCATGGGCATAATCACTTTTTGTGGTTATGTAGCTATCACTACATTGTTCTCTAGGAACTGGGCTTGCAAACTACATTGCTGAAGCAAGCTTGATTTTTATCTCTGAAAAAAAAAAAACTCCCTCAGATTTTGGATTTTTATTGGATCTTGATTTTTTAACATGGAAAAATCACCTGTGTGTTTGCTTCCAAATTTTGCCTAGATTTCTGAGTCTGTTTAATTTGCACTCATGAATATATAACAGAGGCATACATATTTTAAATTATGTTTCTCTTTATCACCCCTGTTCTAATGACTAGTATACAGGGAAATATTTCATTATTGGGTTTGACTTTCAATTCTGTTTTTCTGTCTGTTTCACTCTTTATTTTCTTTATTTAATGTCATATACCTCTACTTTGTGAACTGAGACTGTTCTTCCAAGTTTTATATTACTTATTTGCTCATTTGCAGGGCCAGTTCTGGTTGCTATGGTCCTGCCCCTTAGTTGCTTTTTTAAACAAGTACATTTAGAGTTTTATTTTCTCATAGATCAGCAGTGTTGATAGATCCATGCTACCTTTTCACTTGTTATATCTGAGTGAAATGAGTATGAATGAGTATGTTCGTTCCATTTTCATCCGGGTCCTGGTATTTTTTCTTCATTCTATTGATTATGTAAAATATTTTGTAGAAATTTTCTTCAAAAATTGCAGGATATTTTATTTTGTTTTTTTCCTCTAATTAAAAATCAAGCAATTACATTTATTTCAATTAATAATACTCAGCCATGATAATCTGTTAATTACAATGTTTTGATCATGATGCAGTTTCATCTACGACTCTTTGTTGTTTATTTATTCAAAACTCAGTCATTCATTTGGTGATTAATGGTAATGTTCCATTACTGTGAATGTAAAGCTCCTGTGACTCTAACTCACAAAATGCAAGCTGGGGCAATAACTTATATATCATTTGAGGTTATCCACAATCACACATTCCTATCTCCCAATGTAGTTTATTTCTTTTATACGTATGTATCAAATAACATTTTGCAATTTATTTCTTTAAAGCTACAAAAATATATTAATGCAAACTGATTTATTAGTCTTTTCTTTCATGCTTAGTGTTTTGCATATTCTCTTTAAGAAATCTTTCCTACATGCATATTCATGACATATCTTTTTATACTATTTTCTAAAAGCTTTATTATTTTGCCTTTCACATTTCAATTTCTGACTAATTTAGAGTTGATATTTGTATCAATATAGAAGTAAAAGGAAGAGGTTAAGATTCATTTTAATGTAATATGGATATACAATTGATCCAATATAATTCAGTTATTATTTTTTTTTTCTACTACATCACTGCTATGGCCTGAATGGCTGTGTCACCTCCAAAGTTCCTGTTAAAACTGAATCCCAAGGCAACAATATTAGAAAGTAGACCCTTTGGGAGGTGATTAGGTCATGAGGGCTCAGCACTCCTGAATGAGATTCATGCCTAGTAAGGTGGCTTTACACAGACTTGCCACTTTTGCCTTTCCGCCTCCAACATGTGACGACACAGCCACGAGGTGCAATCTTGGAAGCAGGAACAGTCCTCACCAGACACCAAGTTTGCCAGCGTCTTGACCTTGGAATTCACAGCCTTTATAACTGTGGAAAAATAAATTTATATTGTTTGTTAATTATCCAATCTAAAGGATTTTTTTGTACAAATGGTTTGAGACAATTGCTGTAGCACTTCTATTGTAAATTGAGTGATTATATATATGCAGATATGGTTTCAGATTCTCTGACTCATTGCACAGGGTTAATTGTCTCAGCCTTCACCAATACTATACTGTTTTCATTCCTGTTACTTAACATAAGCTTTGATATTGGAAAGTGTTAATATTCCAATCTTGTTCTTATTGTGTAAGATTACCATCATTGTTTTTTTGCCTCTTTGAATGTCCATCTGCATTAGAAACAGCTTCTAAATGTCAACAAAATTCACAAGGATTTTGATTGTCACAGTATTCAATTCATTTGGAGAGAGTTGTTATATTCACAATATTAAGTTTTCTAATACAAGAACATGGTAAAACCTTTCGCTTATTGAGTCTCCTTGATTCTCTGTCAGTAACCTTTTGTACATTTGCACATACTCTTTATAACTTTTTATTTTACCATAATATCAAACAGTGACGAGTGGGAAAAACACTGCAAGAAATATAAACTTGACCCAGATTCTACTATCAATAGTTGACTTTCTACTTCCATATTCCTTCTCTAAGTTGGTATCCTAGGTACTATTAATGCACACAAAACGAACTACCCCCGAACTTAATAACACATGAAAACTGCAATCATCTGCCTATCATCTCTATGGTTCTGGATTTTGCCTGGGCTCCCAAGGCTCCTACCAGGCTTTCCTAAGGATACAGTCAGTGAGTGGTTAGGGTAGGCGTCACCTCAAAGGTGGATGACATTAGACATAAGGTTCTCAGCTGGGGTTGCCAATTCATGTGGATGCTTGGTTTACTTGAAACTTCCAGAGGAGGAGCAGGCAGAAGTTATGCAGCGTTGATGACCTCTTATAGACTCAGAAGACAAACAGCATTGCTTCTGCACAGTCGCATGCCTACCAAAATTCAACAGAAGGAAGCATAAGACAGTAGGTTCAATGGAGAAGAGTCAAGATCACACTGTTAGAAAAAAATGTAGGATAGGAGATCTTGTCACAGCCATGTTGGAGAATGCAACAGGCATCAGTCCACCCAGTGACCAAAGCAATTCACATTCCTCCCACATGCTAAACACTCTAATTCTCACCTCAGCATGCCCAAGTATTATTCCATGATAGTGTTACTGCATCATCAAAACGATGTCCTAGGGGAGTGATATCAGCGAGATGACTGACTAGGAGACACCAGCCTTTGCCTGCCTACCCAAAAAAATACAAACACAAAAACAAAGGCAAGACCAACAATTGTACAGCTATCCAAGAAGGCAAATAGCCCTTGCAGTGTTCAAGAGCCCAATTAAGAGTGTTCAGGAACACAATTAGAAAAAACGCCCAGAATAACCATACAGAAAGCGTTGCTGGAAGATGGCATGCCTGAGAGTCCTGAGACCTCTAAGATGAAAGAAGCAGGAGGCAATTGTTATCAGCCAGGAGGCAGAGCCACTGCAGTCCCCATGGTCTGCTCTGTAAAGGACCCTGCAGCCTTTGCAGCTGATGACCTAAGTAAACCCCCAGGCAGCCCCGACCCTACAACATTCCCAGAGGAGGCCCATTAGGGTTCATTGTTGAGGATTATAGCAGCCTGCGCTACAGAGGACACTGATGCTTTTGGCATTAAGGTAACCTGCAGCTATAATCACATCACCCCAGAGAGGACGATGCTGTGAAACTCTCCTCCCACACCCTCTCAAGAAGCATCCCCTGCTGTGCCGCCTAGGAGGTGGCTTCAGTGCCCTAAACCCAGGCTCCAGGGCCTCATCCAGTGCTGGCAACTCAGACACTGAGCCACCTCCATGTGGACCAGCCCAGGCCCAGGCCCAGAGTTGCTGTCACTCCAAATGCACTGTCACTCCAAGTGCACCAGCACTCCAGAGCCTGGTCCTGTGGCCGCTGTGGAAATTGCCTAAGACATAAAACAAATAGAAAATATCCATAAAACAAATAGAAAACATCCAGCCACACAGTGGAGTGAAACACAGAGAAAAACCACACAGAAAGGATCACTGGGAGATGGCATACCTGAGAGTGCTGAGAAACAATGGCAAATACATCAAGAGTAATAAAAGACATTGGTCTGTAGGATCAAGAAAAAAAAAAAAAAACAGAAAAAATAATGAAACTTATTCAGGATAAATGCCATGCGTTACCCTAAATAGTAGTGTAACCGTTCAGGATAAACTACAACTGTACATATTATAGTTAAAATGATGAACCAGACAAAGAGAAAATCTCAATTGTATCAAGAAAAAACTGGCTCATTATACCAGAAACACAATAATGAAATAACTGGCTAACTGTTCAGAGACTGATAGAGGCTAGAAGACAGTGGGATTACATATTTATATGCTAGGTGGGGGGTACTCAACAAATCGTTCAATATCCTGTTAAAACATGCTTCAAAAATAAAGGTAAAGTAAAAACATTTCTTTATTAGAAAATGAAGAGAAATGATTACTTGCAGAGATGTGCTCTATAAGACATTCAAGAGGAAATTCTTCAAAATCACAGGAAATCACAGCAGATAGTGGCTTGAGTGCATAGGGAGAAAAGAATACTTCAAAAATAATAAAGAAACAAGAAAGAAGCAAGAAGCAGTCAAACAAAAGTGTTTACTTCAATTTATATGAGATTGTAGCACAGGGAAAACCAAATTACTATAATGAATATCTGAATACCAGTTACCTTGATTGGGATGGGGGAGCAATTGTTGCCTGGGAAGGTGCACAACGGGTGAGTCTGGAGAATTTGAAATATTCTAGAGATTCATCCAGATGGAGAACATACCTAAAACTTAGTTGCATATTTAACATTTCCATCCTTTGTGAGTGTTTTATATCAATTAAAAAATTTAAGAAGCCAATCCTTTACTCTTAATTCAATGTGAATAAAAAAACAAGAATCATCATATATTTACAGAATCTTAACCTTGCTAAGGAGAAGTGAGAAATGCACCTGGGAAATTCTAAGAAACAAGAAATCTAAGAGAGAAGACAAAGGGAAAAGGGAATTTATCTTACTCATGCGGCATAGATTTTCTCTCTATTGGTCTCTCTAAACAGAGACAATATTTAAGTCATTTTGCCCTCAAGAGAGGCTCCCACCATCCCTTTGGCTCTTTCCACCCCACTACACCCACAGGGGATTTGCATATTATCCCCTGGGAGGACCTTCCCTTGTGAGTCTGAGATAAAAGCTCAGCTCTTACCTTGCCTTGACTGATCAGGACTCCTCAGGTCACCTTCTCACAATGAGGCTCCCTGCTCAGCTCCTGGGACTGCTAATGCTTTGGGTCCCTGGTAAGGACAGCAGGAAGATGAGGGAGGAGAATGGGGTGGGAGGGTGAGCTCTGGGGGCCCCACTGCCTCCCATGTGTGTTCCATCCACATGTTAGATGTGTAGGTCTTGTTCTCCAGCATGAAACATATGATGTACTGATTTCTGAGAGTGAGGAAGACTTTAGAAGAAGGAAGGATATATGCCCTGAAGAAACTCAAGTCTTAGAAAGAGGGAGATGGTATAGGAGACCTCTTTGTGCGTGCTGAGTTCTTTTTGAAGTTGGATATTCTTGAAATTGCAAAGAAATTATACAAGCTGGAATAATCGAAAATTATGAACGTGATACATAATATTTTTATGTAACTTTGCCCTTTTCTGTCATCATTCCAGGAACTAGTGGGGACATTCTGTTGACCCAGACTCCACTGTCCCTGCCCGTCACACCTGGAGAGCCGGCCTCCATCTCCTGCAGGTCTAGTCAGAGCCTCCTGCATAGTAATGAAAACACCTATTTACATTGGTACCTGCAGAAGCCGGGCCAGTCTCCACAGCTGTTGATCTATGAGGTTTCCAATCGGGCCTCTGGAGTCCCAGAGAGGTTCAGTGGCAGTGGGTCAGGCACTGATTTCACACTGAAAATCAGCCTGGTGGAGGCTGAGGATGTTGGGGTTTATTACTGCATGCAGACTACACAATGGCCCCCCCACAGTGCTACATCCTGGAACAGAAACCTCTCTGCTGGGGTTGCCCAGCTGCCCACATGTGCTGCTTGTCTGGGGAGCAGCTGAGCAGGGTCTCTGCGTCCACAAAAGGGGAGGCTGTTGGAGAACTCAGGTTTGCTGTTGAGGACTCTGGGCTATGAATCCTCAGCTGCACCTCAAGCACTACCAGTTTATTTACTTCTTTATGTTTTCAAGACAGGGTCTCACTCTGTTACCCAGCATGAAGTGCAGCGGTGTGATCATGGCTCACTGCAACCTTGAAATCCCAAGCTCAAGTGATTCTCCCACCTCAGCCTACAGAGTAGCTGGAAACACAGGGTGCATGCCACCAAGCCCGATTAATTTTTGTAAATTTTTTTTGTAGACACGAGGTTTCACCATGTTGCCCAGGTTGCTCTTGAAATCCTGGGCTCAAGTCATCCACCCAAGTCGGCCTCCCAAAGTGCTGGAATTAGAGGCATGAGCCATCACACCAGATTCCCGCTCTTGTTGATGTTCCTGTCACCTGACACAGCCTTGACTGTCATAAGTAGCAGGAGTATGAGGAGGTTCTAGGGCCCTGTGAGTTCAGGATGAAAAGGAAAGGAGGATGGAAGCTCATCTTCATCCTCCCTCCTTGCTTACAGTTGTTTATTAAATTATTCAGCAAAACAGCCAGACAATTGATCATTTCTGGCAAAACACATTGAATACATCTTAGAGTTTAACAGTTTGATATAGATAGATATAGATATAGATATAGATATAGATATAGATATAGATATAGATATAGATATAGATATAGACATAGATACAGATAGATTTTTTTTGAGACAGAGTCTCTGTCGCCCAGGCTGGAGGGCAGTGGAGCAATGATCGCAGCTCACTGCAACCTCTGCCTCCCAGTTTCAAGTGATTCTCCTGCCTCATCTTTCAAGTAGCTGGGATTACAGGCTCTCACCAACAGGCCCAGCTCATTTTTATATTATTAGTAGAGACAGGGTTTCACCATGTTGGCCAGGCTGGTCTCAAACTCCTGACCTCAAGTGATCCACTGGGCTTAGCCTACCAAAGTGCTGGCATTACGGGCATGAGCCAGCGCACCTAGCCATATTTTAAAGAAAATATTTGGTTATATTTAAAATTGGCATTTTCCTAAATTTTTTTGTAACTTCTGCTTATTCTACTTAGCACTCATTGCCCACTCCCTAAGACAGTAGAGACAGCATTCTCCACTAGTTCTCCTCAGAGGGAGCTGGCTGAGGACAATCAGTAACATCTTGGTAGTGAGTGTCCAATAGATTTTGTAATTTCATAGCAGATACAAGATACTAATACTGAAACTTTTTCTTTTTATTACAATTGCCTCTCACTGACAGAAAAAGGGAGTTCTTGAAATTCCAAAAGTTGGTTTTTAGAAATAAAAAGCAAATCTTGGAAGATGTAGTATACTAAACATGTAGTATTTTCCATGGATCACTGGGAAAATAAAAGATGTCGTAAACTTTTTTATTCCGCAAAGTTCAGAATTCAAGATTGGACAGACTGCAGGAAGAGGGGCATGAGGGGATACAGGAGAGGTCAGCTATTGTTCAGTTAAACTGCCCTTGGTTTATGGTGGGTGGGGATGTGGATGGTGGTGGGCATGGCAGTTCATGTGGACCCACAAAGGGGCCAAATATGTTTCTTGTGTAGAACCACAGAGTTGAAGGCACTGCTGCCTGGCTTCCTGGGTGGAGCCTGTGCCACCGGGAGTCCTAAAGGAAAGTAATGTTGTGAGTAGGGCTTTAGTACTGTAATCACCAAAGGTTTAGTGAAGTTCCTGTGCAAGGAGACCTGAGGTCATGTCACTCAGTCCGAGTCAAATCACAACAGCCAAGCAGAGCTTCTGAAACTCATTCTGCGCCTAGAGGAGGTTTAGCAGAGACCACTGGTTGGGTCTGGAGATGTCACAAGCACTGACATGCTGAGCGGAAGGCCAGGCAGGGTCTACACCAGCAGGGGGTGCAGTGGGGATCCAGAACCATGTCCGTGATTCAGACATGTATTCAGAGTGTTCTGTGCAAGTCTGAGGATTTGGAAGAGCACGCTGAGTCTGTGGGAGTTTTATGTTCTTCTAGCCCATCACCTCCAGCTGCCTGATGACTCAGAACTCAGCAAATGCTCCATGGAGGATTCAGGCCATGTAAAGAGGTTGCCCTGTGCAACCCTGAGGGTCAACCCCATTCATTTTTCCCAGGAGACCTCCTCTGTCTGTGCCAAGACAGAGCTTGTGTCCACATGCAAACTTGGCAGATTTGGCGGGAGGACAAAATGTCAGAAGAGCATCAGTTCAGCTAGAAGGGATCCTATTCACTTTGTAATTGTAGGTCACTTAGTTCTCATTTCTTCCACCGTTCTCTGGTGTTATTAATATAAAATTTTGTATTATTTTCTTTCCAGGTTCTTGCAGTGGTTCTCTTAGCCTTTCAACCCCACGTCGTTGTCCCAGAATAGGAAGATTCCTTTTGAAACTCACTCGTCATTTAGAAATAACAATTTGGGTTCTAAATTACCATAAAAAACTATAAAAGGTATTGAAATAAGTGAATGTATAATTTTTACATGATGTGGTCATTACGTGAAAATAAACCTGACTCCCATATTCTAATAGTGGTGGGACGGAAAAAGTATGCCTTGTATGGTTTCACTCAAAATAATTCCTCAAAAATATTTGTGAAGATATTTAAACCAAGCTTTCCTCTGGAATCTTACCTAGAATTTCATTTATTTGTATTCTTGGGCAATTAAACATGAATTTCTGTCATATTACCCAAGATTACACAGCACAGCAAGCTAGCATTTCAATTGTTCTTGGTTTTTTTGCTTGTTTGTTTTGCTTTGTTTTTGCTTTTGTTTTTTTTTCCGAAATGTGACTGTCCTTGTGATAGTGTTTGGAGCTGACAGCATTATTCAGGAGCTGTTCAATTAAATATTAAGCACATCACTAACAAATAAAGAAACATGAGATTGCTTCCCTTTGTGATGATCAACTGTGGGGCAGACTCACATCCCTGAGCTGTGCGCATCTTTACATGAAACCATGAGAATGTCAGTTTCAGGTACAGGTTACACTGAGACATAAAACTGTAGATGTAGGTGCTTGGTCTTCTCACATAGACAATTTCCTTCTCAACTGCAGACTCATGGCTGTGACTGCACCACATCCAGACTGGGGGAGACTCAGGTCTCACTCAGAGTTGGCAAGAACCTGGAAGCCCTGATAGGACCTGATCCCACATGATCAGGGAGACTGTGTGAGAAGAGTTTTCCTAATCACCACTCAGAAAAACATCATGCAATGTTATTTCTTATTTGTCTGTATCGTTAATCTAGGAAATTCTTCCCTATGAGAGACTGCTGGTTAATCTTGTACATGTGAGATGATCATGATGGGATACATCCCAGATTGAAAGGTTGGTCACCAGGAATTTTATATTCACTGCCTGAGGCATAACATTCTTGCGCCCTTTCCTCTTACTTACACTGGGCTCTTGACTCTAAATGTAAAGACCCACATCATTCTCCCTGTGAGACTGTTGGACAGAGCACTCTCATGGGGCTCACTCATCAGGTGCCAGAGAAGGGGAGATTCTAACCCTTGCATTGAACAATGTTGACCAGTTACGCAGGAAACAGCAGACACCAGGCAACACTTGAACTGGCTCAAGAGCACTTTTCATTTGCAGGCCCTCTGCCCATCAGTGCTTGTGGGAACGGGGCTGTTTTCTTCTCTAGATTGACTGGGAGGGAGCCATGCAGGATAACGTTTACCTCCCAGAGATGCATCCTAGAAACACATTTCCACATTGTCAGGGTGTTTGTGCTTTCTCAGTGTGGCATGCACTGCACAATGTGTCCCTGTCTAAGGTCCCAACTTTCACAATCAGAGCCTTCTTCCCTTGACCACAGGCAAACTTGACTTGAACTATGTTTGTTTTGCTCCAAAGAACATTTTATGTCACATTGTTCACTGAAGAGACATCCCCCCCTACACCACTGACCCTTTTCACACTGCTGCACCCACCAGGTGATTTGCATGTTGTCCCCTAGGGAAGACCTTTCCTTGTGAGTCTGAGATAAAAGCTCAGCTCTAGCCTTGCCTTGACTGATCAGGACTCCTCAGGTCATCTTCTCACAATGAGGCTCCCTGCTCAGCTCCTGGGACTGCTAATGCTCTGGGTCCCTGGTAAGGAGAGGATTAAAATGAGTTGGGAAAACAGGGTGGGAGAGTGAGTTCTGGGGGCACCACAGCTTCCTATATTTATTTCAACCATGTGTTAGAGGCACATGGTCTTTGCTCCAGGAATGAAAATTCATAAATTCATATTTTTGTCTCAGGAATAAGCATGAATCATCTCCCAAGAACAATGACTAGTGTTCTGATTAATATCTTGAAACTGAAGAGTTCCCTGTTGGCTAGTAAATAATAGGTTCATTTTAAAAAGCCTACTTTTTATGATATAAATCAAAACTTGTTAAAAATAACTACAAACCAGTTCTTAGGGAATCTGAAGTGCTTATAAGGTGTCTATATAACTTTGCACTCTCTGTTATAGTGGGTCAGGCACTGATTTCACACTGAAAATCAGCAGGGTGGAGGCTGAGGATGTTGGGGTTTATTACTGCATGCAAACTCTACGGTCTCCTTCCACAGTGGTACAGACCCGAACAGAAACCTCCCTACTGGGGTGTCCCAGCTGCTCACATGCACTGCTTGTCTGGGGAACAGCTCGGTAGGGTCTCTGAGACTGCAGAAGAGGAGGCTGTTGGAGAATACAGGGTAGAGTTTGCTGCTGAGGACTCTGGCCCATGAGAGCCACAGCTGTGTTTCAGTCTCATATGTTAAGGCCCCATCAGCTGCCACAGGTGGCCACGTGCTCTGGGAGCAACCAGCTCTGATGAAGGGAGAGTGAATGAAAGCTCATCCTCACCCTCCCTGTCTGGCCCACATTTGTCGAGTCCATTTATTTGGCAGAACGATCAGATCATGGATGCAGGTTAGTGGTAACGCAGTGAAGTACATGTTAGAAACGACTGGTTCGGGGATAGCTTTATACATGATAATACTTGGTCATATTGGGAAATTGCTATCGTCCCACTTTCCAAACGTTCTCTCTCCTTTACCACTCCCAGGAAACTGCCTTCTCTAGTATTATGGTGGAGAAAGCATTCTGCACCAGCTGTCCTCACGGGAGTATGACCATGAATAATTAGTTATAATGTTTGATTTTTTTTTTTTTTACTACTTATAGATTTTTAAAACCCAAGTCAGATATAAATCCTAATACTAAAATAGCTTGATTTGCCTCAGTTACGTTTTGCTGACTGAAAATGGAATTCTTGCAACTCCAATAGTGGGCTTTGAAAATAAACAACGTAATTCAGATGGAAAACATAAAGTTTACGTAATGTACCACAGAAAAAATGCAGAATTGTATGAGATTTTTATTTCCTTCTCAAATTCTTAGAATTTCACAAGTATTTTACTGACAGTATTTTAGAGAGGAAATATTTAGTGCTATGTTGTCATAAGAAAATGATTCAAAGAATGAATAAATGCATTATTTTTATATGACACTTTTTTCATGAAAATAAACCTGAATCCTGTATTTTAGTTGTAAATGCATAGAAAAATTATGCTCTTAATAGATTCCATTGACAATAGTGCTCTAAATTTACATTTTTTGTTTGTTTGTTTGTTTGTTTGAGATGGAATCTCACTCTGTCACCAGGTTGGCGTGCAGTGGCACGATCTCGGCTCACTGCTGCCTCCGCCTCCTGGATTCAGGTGATTGTCCTGTCTCAGCCTTTTGAGTAACTGGGACTACAGGTGCGTGCCACCACACCCAGTTAATTTTTATATTTTTAGTAGAGATGGAGTTTCTCCATCTTGGCCAGGATGGTCTCGATCTCCTGACCTCGTGATCCACCCGCCTCGGCCTCCCCAAGTGCTGGGATTACAGACGTGAGTCACTGTGCCCAGTCTATGCTTTCTTAATATGAGGGCTACGGTCTGATAAATATCTGTATTCATTTTTCCATGCGACTTTTAAACCTCACGGAAATGCTTTCTGTTAAAAAAGTAATAGCGCTTTCTCCACCATAATACTACGGATGGCAGTTTCGTGTCAGTTGGTAAAGGAGAGAGAAAGTTTTGAAAATGGGAAGACAGCAATTTCCCATTATGACCAAGTGTTTTCTTGTAGAAAATTATTCCCAAGCCCGTCATTTCTAACATGTGTTTCACTTGTGTTACCACTAATCTGCATCCATGATCTGATTGCTTTGCCAAATAAATTTACATGAATTCAAGTAATGAGTGATGTCCATTACATGTAATAATACGGTGTAGAGACACAAAAGACTGATTGAATCAATAGAACAAGATCCTGATGCAGGCTATGGGTTTAAATTATACGTTTGATGATTTATGTCAAGATAAAGGATTCCATAGCAAGTGCAATTAAAATTCCAATGAGTCATTTCTGTTAGGTTTAAAAGTTGCATGGCAAAATGTATTTCTTGTTTATTCTCATCATAAGCCTATGAAATTCTTCTCTTCCAAGAGCGCCCTCTGTTTAATCTGGTATAGGTGAGATGATTAGGATGGGATATATTCCAGGTTCAACAATTGCTCATCAGGAATCCTATATTCACCACCCGAGGCATAAAATTCCTGCCCCGTTTCCTCTTACTCAAGCTGGGCTCTCGGCTCTAAATGTAGAGACTCACATCCTTCTCCCTGTGAGGCCGTTGGACAGAGTGCTCTAATGAGGTTCACTCACCCGGTGCCAGCAGAGGGAAGATCCCAGCACTTGCATCGAACATTCTTGAACAATTATCCTGGAAACAGCAGATACCCAGACCACTGTTGAAGTGGCTCAAGATCACTTTTTATTTGTAGGCTGTCCGCGTGTCAGTGCTTGTGGAGATGGGGCTGTTTCTTTCTCTAGATTGATTGACTGGGAGGGAGCCATGCAGAATGGCACTCACCTTCCAGAGATGCATCCTAGACACACATTTCTACATCATCAGGGTCCTTCTGCTTTCTCAGCATGGCATGCACTACACAGTGTTTCCCGGCCCAAGGTCCCAACTTCCACCGCGAGATCCTTATTCACATCAGTATAGGCAAATATGACTTCATCTTTCTTTGTCTCCCTTCAAAGGACAATTGATGTCACATTGTTCACAGGATAAACATACCCCTCCCCCATTGGCTGTTTCCACACCCCTGCACCCACCAGAGGATTTGTATATTGTCCCCTAGGAAGGACCTTGTCTTGTCAGTCTGAGATCAAATCTCAACTACAACCTTGCCTTCACTAATCAGGACTCCTGTATTCACTTTCTCAAAATGAGGCTCTCTGCTCAGCTCCCGGGGCTACGGATGCTCTGGGTGCCTGGTAAGCACAAAAGGAGATGAGTGTGGAGCATGGGGTGGAAGGATGAGCTCTGGGACTCCACAGTGTTCCATGTTTATTCTAACCAAGTGTTAGAGGCATATGGCTTATGTTTCAGGGAAGGGAATTTATAATTTGTGAATAATTAGAAACCTGTAAATAATTAGAAACCATCTGAAAGGAACAATGACCAGTACTCTGAATAACATTTTGAAAAATAAAGGAGTCTCTTGTACCTAGTAAATAATGGGCTCATTGTTAAAAGTTTATTTTTTATGATGTATATCAAAATTATTTTAAAAAATAAATCAATATTATAAGAACAATTACAAAAGTTGCTCATAATGTTTGGACACAACTTTGTACTTTTCTCTCATTGATTCAGGATCCAGTGGGGACATTGTGATGACCCAGACTCCACTCTCCCTGCCCGTCACCCCTGGAGAGCCGGCCTCTATCTCCTGCAGGTCTAGTCAGAGCCTCCTGCATAGTAATGGATACACCTATTTGCATCGGTACCTGCAGAAGCCAGGCCAGTCTCCACAGCTCCTGATCTATTTGGGTTCCAACTGGGCTTCCGGGGTCCCTGACAGGTTCAGTGGCAGTGGGTCCGGCACTGATTTCACACTGAAAATCACTCAGGGTGGAGGCTGAGGATATTGGCTTTTATTACTGCATGCAACATCTACAAATTCCTTCCACAGTGCTACACCCTCAAACAGAAACCTCCCTTCTGGGGTTGCCTAGCTGCGCATATGCACTGTTTCTCTGAGGAACAGCTCAGTTTGGTCTCTCACTCTGCAGAAGAGGAGGCTGCTGGAAAGCTCAGGAGCAGGATTTGCTGCTGAGGACTCTGGTCCATGAATTCTCAGTTGGGCCTCAGTCTCACATGTTAAGGCCCCATCGGTTGCCACAATCTGGGAATGGCATCAGCAGTAGGAGAATTCAGGTAGCCACAAGCCCTGTGAGCAAGCAGCTATGATGAAGAAAGAGTAAATAAAATCTTATTCTCACTCTCCCTGTTTTGCCCACATTTGAAACATACATTAGGTTGGGCCAGGCGCGGTGACTCACGCCTATAATCCCAGCGCTTTGGGAGGCCGAGGCGGGCGGAGTCCGAGACCAGCCTGGCGAACACGGTGAAACCCTGTCTCTACTAAAAATACAAAAATTAGCCAGGCATGGTGGTGCATGCCTGTAATCCTAGCTACTAGGGTGGCTGAGGCAGGACAATCACTTGAATCCAGGAGGTGCAGGTTGCAGTGGGTCAACATTGCACCGCTGCTCACCAGCCTGGTTGACAGAGCAAGATTGTCTCTAAAAAATCAACAACAAAAAATTTGGTTGACAGAGCAACCAGTCCATGGATGCAGATTAGTGACAACACGAGGGGAACACATGTTGGAAATTATGAGTTTAAGGTGCATTTTATACAAGATAATACTTGGTCATATTGAGATATTGTTTCTGTCCTACTTTCCCAACTTCGTATCTCCTTTATCAATGATACACTAAACTGCCATCGCCAGTGTCATGCTGGAGAGCACTCTACACAAGCTGTTCTCAGGGGAGTATAGCTAAGAATAATTAGTAAAAATGTTTGATTTTTGATTATTAATAGACTGTAAATTCATGGCAGATATACAATCCTAATGCCAAAATACCTTAAGTTTTCTCAATTACCTTCTTTCCAGTGAAAGAAAATTCTTGCAATTCCAAAAGTAAGCTTAGAACACAACATGTTCAAAGATGTAGAACATAGACTTTATTAAATGCAATAATACAAGACATTTTTCTTCTTCACCCCAGTTTTAAGAATTTCAAAAGTATTTAACCTAAGTATCATTTTAGAGATGACATTTAGTATTATATTCTCATAAAAATACATTTCAAATAATACAAAAATATCTTATCCTCATATTACTTCATCATTACCGGAAAATAATTATGAATCCGTTCTTTTGGTTCTAAAAGCACAAAAATCTTATGCTTTCAATTGATCCCACTGAAAATAGTGTTCTAAAGTTCCATCAAAATCAATGATGAATCATATCAGTTACAAGACATAATGCAGAGTGATAGACACAAAAGAATGATTGAAGCAACAGAATAAGAATAAGAAGCTCCTGCTTCAGGTTTAGGGTTTAAAGTGTATTTGAGATGATTTTCAACTCCAAGATAATGAATTTGATGGCAAGTGCAATTAAAATTTCAAAGTGACATTTCTTTATAATTAAAAGGTATATAGATAAACTTATATAGAAATCAAGCAAACTGGAACCATCAAATTAAAAAACATGACACTTAATACGCGATTTTAAAGTACTCCTAAAAGCAACATGAAGCTTAAAGATATGAAATATTACAGAATGCAGTGGGAGACAACAAAGTGTGAGTAGCTAGAGCAGGAGGTGAGCAGCCATCGTCATTGCTAGCCCTCATGTGATTGACAGCACCTAGTCACTATAGAATCTACTTTGGTGTGAGACAGGGGATAAGTTATAAAACCACTCAGTGTGGTTGGACACACCTAAAAAAATAAACAAGCTCAAAATCTACATGATAGTGATATCCCAAGGGTCTATACTCTTAAATAAAAATGATGAAAAATAAAATATTCCAAAAACTGAAGGTGGATACCAAGCAGAATCAGAAGACAATCAAATCAGCAATTACAGAGAAGCCTTAAAATAAGGTGGACTAAATATGACAAGGTTTCTCTGTCTATGCCATGGCAGGTCAGAAACAGGGAATTCGCCTTGGTGGTGTGGGCGGCTCTGCTCCATGAGGTCACTCAGACGGGCAGGAGGCACAACCACCGTGAGAGCACAGCCTTCTTCCTTCCTCACAGTCATTGCCCCCATGCCCATTCCTCAGCAGCATGAGTGGAACAGAATGGAGAGAAAGCTGTTTTTTTCTAAAGATCAAAGAAAATTTAAACTTTCCATCAGGGATAAATGTTCTTTTGGATAAAGCACACATTTGTGAAATTTTTCACTCTGTGAATCTCACGATAAACTCAAGGTTTTGTTTGTTTCAATTTGAAAATGTATTTACACATTATTTGGAAATAACTTGGAATATCCAATCACATTTTGGCAGCCTATTTGAAATTGTCATTTGCTGTTGATATTTACTGCTCAAAAGTCATCTGTAAAAGAGACTTTCATCTGTGACTAACACGCCTCCTCTGAAAGGAATCTGTCTTTTTTTTCTCTCTTCAGACTCTTTCTAAGCTCTTTAATTAGCCTTTGGTTTTTTTAATATTCAATTTATTCAGCTTGATATATTATTTATGTGAACTAATGAATTAGTTTTCACTATTACAAAGTTAAAAACCGTATATGTTGCTATGTCAAACACCTGCCCGTAGATGGCAAACAAATCCCACAATTAAAAAAAGAGAGTGCCATGAACTAAGAAATACTGGGAATGTAAGGGTGATGGTGTCTCACTGTCAATAGGGAGCTCAAAGGCTGGAACAGGGTCTCATGTGTGACCTGGAGCACCTGGGAGGAGCTGCCAGGGTGCCGAGTTGTGAGGAAAATCTGCTCTGCGCTCCGTGCTCTGAGGCTGGAGGCTAGGCCCTGACCCACAGTGTAGCTGCAGAAGATGATCAAGTTTGGGTGAATGGCTGTGTTGTGCAGAATGGAGTGCTCTAGAGAAGAGAAGATAACATTCCCCACTTATCCTGGCCAGCTGGACAGCACCATCGTCTGTCTGCAGGGAGTGGAATCACATACTGAAGAGTTTGAGCCTGGAGTCTGCTTATCTTTGCAGCTGTGATCATTCATGCACCCACAGGGCTTGGCCTAACAAAGTGATGTCCTTTTCTAGTTCTTCCAAAGAATGGACTATGTTCAGGGCTCATAGAAAAGATGGATAAGCTGCAAAGGAAAAGTGTGTATGGAAGATGAATTTCTGATCAATGACTTCAGCCAGGTACAATCATGCAGCAAGGAAGACGACTGGGTATTTTGGGGGAAAAAAGAGAAAAAGAAACCACAGATTTTTATTTTTTCTTTCAAGAAGTTTGTACTAAACACCATCTGCCTGAATCTAGGTGATTGGTGAGGTAGGAGGACAGGGATAAAATTGTGTGTCCAGAGGGGAGAAGGTCTACTCCTAAGCTGAGCCAATAGCCTTTCTGACCTGATCACCTGGGCAGGGGCTTCTCAGTGCAAAGAAGAGGAGGCAGGTGGTCTCTGCAGCTGGAAGTCTGGCACCTTCCCATACTTCTTTGCATGTTCCTCCCAGCCACGCTGCTATCTAGAGCCCATATCAATGCCTGGGTCAGACCTCAGGGGAAGAGCTGCTCAGTTAGGACCCAGAAAGGTTCATGGAAGCCCCAGCTCAGCTTCTCTGCCTCTTGTTACTCTAGCTCCCAGGTGAGTGGAAGAGGAGATGGCTCTACACTGAAACTCTCTCAACCTTGTTGTTTCCTCTGGCCTGGCATCGCTGCTGAGCAAGAACAGTAATTATAATTCAATGTAGATCAGTGACTGTGGCTATACTATGAGGATGGTGCGCTTGATGCAGTTTGTATGGGAAAGTTTAAAACTTTCCTGTTTTATTCCAGTCTCAGGTACCTCCAGAGATGTTATGCTGATGCAGTCTCCTGACTCCTTGTCTTTGTCTTCAGGGTAAAGAGACCCTCTCGTCTGTGGGTGCCGTCAGAACATTGGAAGCTCCTTAGCCTTGTATCAGTGGAAACCTGAGGAAGCTCCCTGGCTTCTCATCTATGGTGCACCCAGCAGGGCCACTGGCATCCCAGAGGGGTTCAGTGGTCATGGGTCGGAGACAGACTTTACTGTCACCATCAGCTGCCTGGAGCATGAAGATTTTGCACTTCTTTGTCTTTTTTGATCTTTGTTGGTTTAAAGCCTGTTTTGTCAGAAACTGCAACCTTTCCTTTTTTCTGTTCTCCATTCCTTGGTAGATTTTTCTCCACCTCTTTATTTTGAGCATATGTGTGTCATTGCATGTGAGATGAGTCTCTTGAAATCACCATACCAATGAGTCTTACTTTTTTTTCCAGCTTTCCGCTCCATGTCTTTTAATCAGAGCATTTAGCCTACTTGCATCTAAGGTTAGTGTGAATATGTGTGTATTTGATCCTGTCATTATGATGTTAGCTGGTTATTTCACAGACTTGTTTATGTGGTTGCTTTGTTGTGTCGCTTGTCTGAGTACTTCTGTGTGTTTTTGTAGTGGCTGGTAATGGTCTTTCCTTTCCAAACCTAGTGCTTCCTTCAGGAGATTTTGTAAGGCAGGTTTGGTAGTGACGTATTCCCTCAGAACTTGCTTGTTTTAAAAGGATGTTATTTCTCCACACTTATGAAGTTTAGTTTAGACGGATATAAAATTCTGGGTTGGAGTTTCTTTTCTTTGAGAATGTTGAATATTAACCCACAATCTCTTCCAGTTTGTAGGATTTCTGCTGAGAGATCCACTGTTGGTCTGATGGGTTTTCTGTGTAGGTGAGTGGGTCTTTCTTTCCAGTTTCCTTTAACATTTTTTCTTTTATTCTCACCTTAGAGAAGCTGATGATTATGTGTCTTGGGAATGATCTTCTTGTGGAGTATCTGACTGGTTTTCTCCAAATTTCCTGAATTTGAGTGTTGGCCTCTCTAGATAGGTTGGGGAGGTTCTCATAGATGATATCCTGAAATATGTTTTCGAAGTTTGCTTCATTTG